TGTAGCACGAATGGAACGGCATGCTATTAGATGCTATTTAAAAACATCCCGTCAAATACTTAGTGACATGGCAACCCTAATGCAAATTCGAGATATTAAACCTATCAAATTATTTCCACACGTCCCGGGTTGGCTGAGAGAGAATGCCAAAAGGCATTAAGTCTACTTTGTAAGACTTTCTTAAGGTGTTTTACAATGAAGTAAAAATAATATTTTCCCTATGTATATTTAAGTGACAACCCTAACTCATCGAAGTCGAAAGCACGTGTGTTACCGTTAAAGCATTATAAATATGAACAGGTTATGTTTGTCCCAAAGCATTGTTAGTAAATGAGCTTTGACACACGGACGCGGCGTTCGGTGAGCTGAACTCCTAAAATTATTTTCCTTTTTAAACCCGCTAAAGGTCACTGCTATACTTCTCTAGTTATAGGAATTTTATAATCACCACAGTTGGCAGCTTTCTCACTGCTCTAGTCTGCTACTGAGAATAGCGTGACAGAAAAACACAATAACTAATTTTCAGCCCGACTTGGTATGATTGAACCTGAAACCACGAAATCAACAGTCATGTTTACAACCTCTATACCAACTAGGCTATCGTTGAGATAATATACCTTCCACTACTGGGCATACGCCGCCTTTCATTAACAATATAATAGGTTTATGGAGCAATCATTACAAAACTATCATATTACAACTCAGTTGTTAGAATGTGTCACCTCTACAATGATATACCAGGACTATCCATATGTTGATATTCTATGTTAAAATCCAAATGTCTTCAATAGTATATATAATATATAATATAATAGTATATATGTTACCGGCCAAACCCTATTTCAGGCCAAACTAGTTTGTCCTAGGCCAAATCGATTTATCTAACGCGCGTCAGACATACTAGTTTAGCTCAAGACAATCCAGTTTGGCCTAAATATTTTGGCTTAATTATTTTTGCCTAGGAATATATGTTTTTTGATAAGATCGGTCGATTCTGCTCTTAAACCGAATGAGCACGCCCCGACTATACGTAGTCTTATCTGCCCTACCCCTAGAGTTTTATTGTAAAGCCGTAGGCGCAGAGGGAGAGTAGCCCCCGCCTGCCGTGGCAAATCGCAAGCACCTGTGCGAGCCGCAGCGGTTGAGGCTGGTCACCGAAGGCGACCAATAAGCAAAACTGCGGAGGTGAGCCTTGGTGCCTGCGATTTACTACGCAAGGGCGAAGTGCTGCACCGAAGCTGTTGCAGAAATAAATTTAGGTCAATAGTAGGTTAGGTTAGATTAGATTATGCAATGATTCAATCAATTTCGCCAAGGCCTAAAGTATTTAGGCCAAACTTTATAATACGATCTTAACCTCTGCTACACTAGTATGTCCGGACGCGCGTCGGATAAACCATTTTGGCCTAGGACAAACTAGTTTGGCCTGAAATCTAGTTTGGCCGCTAACATATATAACCTTCGATCCGTGATATTCCGAAATAGTTGGTCTCATCTCTTTTATGTTTCTACCCACTTTGTTCTAGTAACAGGCCTCTTGTAAACTGCTGGATGGGTGATTGCAAAACCACTGCTCCAGTGCGTGTTGGCGGAATTCAATTTTTTTGATAGAAGAACGGTTATAAAACGACGACGACCTGGTTATGCATGCAGGAAGTCGATGGGTACAGGCACTCAGAAACGTACTTTGTACCATTCTTTGGGGGAGACCAATATATGCTCTTCAGTGGACTTATGAAGGGCTGTAATGATGATGATGATTACGGTGACAAACGAGCACACAGTCTACCTAATAATTAGTAAATGCAGTGGCCTATAGACATCTACATCTATTGTCGATTGAGAATCAAAATGCAGATGCGTTGTCATACCTAAGGAAGCAATGCCTCTTTTCGAGTAAAAAGGATCCCCGGTTCTCTACAGTCATCATATAAAACACAGCAACATTGAGCTGCTACTTTACGCTGGTATTGCGTGAGAACGTGGTGTCTTCAAAATATGTTTGTTCCACAGGCACGCAGGTTCACACGAAGTTTTCCTTCACCGCTGAGCGCGCGGTATCCCTGCACTTAAATTGCAATTTCAGAAAGTTTAGCCAGTGTTCAGGTTGAGCAACCACCTTTCGTTAGTTTTCCACGCAGGCGTTTTGTTTTCTGTAAAGTGCACACCAACAAACATCTATACCAGAAACAATTAGAAAAAAAACTTTATTTGACATTACAAAGGAAATAAATTAACACGAGATATTTAATAAAAACAGTTTTTTTTATATATTCTATTAAGGGTGACAAACGAGCACACAGTCCACCTGATGGTAAGTGGATGCTGTGGCCCATAGACATCTACATTTATCCTCGATTAAGAATCAAAAAACAGATGCGTTGTCACCCCTGAGGACTAAAATGGAATGCCTCGTTTCCAGTAAAAAAGGGTCTCCGGATTTCCGCTTGTATTCTGTTAGCGTGATTCTTCCCCGGTCGAGCCGACCCGTTCGTGCCACAACCATAATATAAATAAATGCTGCTGTACTTAATGTCAGCAGTGCTGATTTTCAAATAGAGCCTATTATTGACTTCACAGATGGATTATATTTAAGCCATACAAATACTTGTTTACCCACGTGTATATTCTCCAATATCGTCACGTGGAAGTCGTAAGAAACGACGGCAGAAAACAAACCAGGAAATGGGCGGCAGAGTCTTTAACACGTGTAATAACAACGAAAAACTATCAAATAATTCTACTTCTACGGATTTTATTGCGTTTAATTTTATATATTTTAACAGACTTCGAAAAGGAAGAAGTATTTAATTCAACTGTATATTTTTATGCGTTATGTATTTTAATGATTCTTTTTTTTTTATTTGAAAGCTGGTGCTTCTCGTGTAATCACAAATAAATTAGATCAAGATCAAACCGGTAGTTTTTGAGTTATCCCTAATAACGCGCATTTAAATGACTTTGACTACATTGATGATGTTTTCATTTTATTTATATTGAAGTCAGTTGTACAACATTTTTAATTTTACAAGTTGTTAATTCGCAACGTTTTGGATGCTTTTCAGCACCCAGCACGGGGGGACTGTTGTGATTGACTACCCGATGTCAAAGTTAACTTGGAATACCTTCATGTTTTTAATTTTTACTATTAGTAACTATTAAAAATATGAAGGTGCTCCTATTATACTCCTAGTATATACAACTATTGGTAACTAAGAAGTAATAAAAAACAGCGGTTTCCAACCCGCCCTGCAGGTGTGGCTATTGTGAAAAATAGTTCTGTTACGAGCTTGGGGCTCATGACAATAAAAACTGCCGATTTAATTACCAAAATTGACACTTTAATTACCGAAAACCAGTTACAACTTAAAACACACTAAAAAGTGTGTTTAAGTTATATAAAGTATAAATTAAGTTTAGTTCGCAGTTATATCGCTTCGAAGTATTCGCTTGAATTGCCAATTCAATACTCACTCAGTCGCGGTCCCTACCGGCCTTATATAGGGCCTCTTCTACTGAAACATTTAAAATGTTCGAGTACATACTGGTCCCAACTGACAAGGTTTAGAAAGTTCTAGTATGAAATTTTCTAGAAAGATCTTGAGTCTCCTAGTTCTGCTACTCGATACAAGATGGCGCTACTGGTAACTCGCCATGTATTAGGCATTAACTATATCGCGCAACAGTTCTATATTCAGCTGTGGACTATTAGGCTGCAACAGTATGACTTTAATAGGTTAAACCAGTCAGAAATTACTTGATGACTATAATGTATAAAGATAATTGTACATATGTAATTATAATTCTGACACGTGAAAGAGTACACTTACTGAATGATCACCAACCGTTAAGATAAAATATATTTTAGTACGTAAAGGTAAAACTTAGTAGCACTATAGTATGTGAGGATAATATGATCATCCGGCTAATATAGTTACTTTCTAATAACTCACAAACTACATTGTTGTTTGCATAGACGGCTTTGTGATACGGCAGCTCTTCATTAGTCCATCAAATAATAAAGGGCGCTGCTATGTCGACGCCATTTTGACAGTTGACATTATAGTAAATATTTTAGTCGATTTTGGTATGGTGTAGTGTATTTTCCCAAGTGTTTCCAATTATTGGCAAAGCTTCTTAGTTTTTTTTTTCCTAATATATTAGTTATAGTATACTACATTGTGTTTTTGTCTCTGTCCTCCTCCTAGTTTTGGTTTTATTGGGCGGCAAAACCATATTACCCTCACGTATCTTATTTAGCGTAGTCCGAGTGCGAAGGAGAGTGTGATTTGACATAGTTAAGAATTATTTAAAGGGTGACAAACGAACACACAATCCACATGATGGTAAGTGGATGCTACACCTACCTACATCTATCTTCGATTAATAATCAAAATGCAGATGCGTTGTCACGCCTGAGGACTAAGATGGAATGTCTCGTATCCAGAAAAAAGGATCTCCGGTTCTCTACACTCACAATAGGAAACACAGCGGCATTGAGCTGCTATTTTACGCCGGTATTCTGTGAGAGCGTGGTCCTGCCCCGGTCGAGCCGACCCATTGGACTCTACCACTTTAACATAATATATACACTTTTTATTACTATTTTACTTTTATATATATATATATATATATATATATATATATATACAAATTACGTGTCACGTTGTTTGTCCGCGATGGACCCCTAAACTACTTAACCGATTTTAATCAACCAACTTGAGAGATAGAATGGTTTTTTTGTCCATAAGTGATCCACAATTTTTTTTGCTAATTTTTAATAGGACATGATTAAGGGTCATCGAAAAGGGCAGAACAACGTCTGCATGGCAAGCTAGTATATATATATATAATATATATCTATATATATAATATATATATATATATATATATATATATATATATTATATATATATATATATATATATTTCTTATAAATACACGTATAATTCTATGTAAAAGGAGTGCTAAAAGCCGACCAATAATTATACATATTTAAATTATTTAAGCAAAGCAGCCGTAGCCAATTCATTCGATGAGGGAATGGCCTCACGTCGTAGTCGTTCGAGCTCGGCATCATCGAATATTTTCGAGCGCATGATGTACCGAACTCGGTCTGCCAGGTTTTGTTCCGTGACGGGAATAGACGGCTCCAGCTCAGCAAAAAAGCAATGCATCCGAGCCCGATACGCTATCCCCGCAGTTTCTTCCCCTTTTGCCCTATAGTACGCCCGCATTGCGTTTGCGTTCATATCCCTTGTCCAACGCATGCGGCGCACTCCACCAGCGGCGGATGACGCTTGCCGAGTCCGAGAGGACCCTGCCGACATCAAGCCGTCTGGTGGGGATGATGGATGCGGGGGGCTGTTAGGTGATCTTGCAGCTCCTCGCGCTCGGCTGGCGGCCCGCGTGCTGCCGCGTCCAGCGCCAGCTCCAGACGCGCCCCGGCGACCCCCAGGCAGCGGCCCTATACGTTTTCCAATCTTATCCATCATCCATTTTTTGGGCGCCAATTAGCGGGAGACGCCCAGGCCCGGCACCGTTTCATTGTATCATTGTGCGGCCGTAAGCACAAACGGGCCTTTGCACCCTGAGTACTGCCGAGGCACGGCGCTCACACCTCTTGGCAAGGCGCCAAGAGGTGTGAGATTATTATATCAATATCATATCTAATAACAAAAGACCACACAGTCCACCTGGTAGTAAGTAAGTGAGAACCTAAATAACCTAAATAAATCCTCCATTGAAAATCAAAATACACATGAGTTGTCGCCCCTGAGGACTGAGATGGAACACCTCGTTTCAAGTAAAAAGGATCTCCGGTGATTCACACTCATCATAAGAAACACGAGAAACACATCATAAGAAGCCGTGGTAGCTCAGATGGTTAACGCTCACTGTAAATATTAAGACGCGAGTAACCCGGGTTCGATCCCCGCCGGCACCAATGAAATTATTAATTACAATTTTAAGTGCTGATTTACCACGTGCTCGGAGGTGAAGGAAAACATCGTGAGGAAACCTGCATGTTTAAGGAATAAGAGAAAAAAATATTTCGAAGAGATGTGAAGTTAGCCAACACGCATTGGGGCAGCGCGGTGAACACTTCCTTGCCCTAAAACCCTCTCAGAAATGAGCGTGGTCTTTTCCCACTCGAGCCGACACATTTGTTCTACCAATATAATACAGCTGCAGCTGTAGAAAAGTAGACTATGTACTTGTCAGTCATCTTAAAATTAAAAAAAATCTCCTTATTTTTTTAATGGACAGGTCGAGCAGAGAAATCTGTGCTACAACCATAATGTTGCTGCAGCTTGGCTCTACCACGTAAAAAAGGTGGACTGTTTTCGTTAGTCATCCTTACTTTCAGAAAAAACTCTCCTTATTTAACTTTTAATAAAAAAAAGAACTTTTAACCAGATTCGATAACAAGTTTTGCGCGTCAAGCGCGGCTGACTGTACACACAGTTATAACACTTATACGGCTGACTGTACACACGATTAGAACTTTCCAGAAGGTGACATAAAATCCGATCTTCGGAATTTGTCGCCTTGAAAGTTTAAATTGGTTAATCAAAATTCATGAAACAAGTATTAACGTTGTCACCTTGAGAGGGGATCTGTGTTGTTGTAATTAAGTACGTAATTTCGATATTATCATTACATTAAATAATTTAAATATGTATAATTATTGGTCGGCTTTTAGCACTCCTTTTACATAGAATTATACGTGTATTTATAAGAAATATATATATATATATATATATATATATATATATATATATATATATATATATATATATATATATATATATATATATATGGTTAAAAGTTCTTTTTTTTATTAAAAGTTAAATAAGGAGAGTTTTTTCTGAAAGTAAGGATGACTAACGAAAACAGTCCACCTTTTTTACGTGGTAGAGCCAAGCTGCAGCAACATTATGGTTGTAGCACAGATTTCTCTGCTCGACCTGTCCATTAAAAAAAATAAGGAGATTTTTTTTAATTTTAAGATGACTGACAAGTACATAGTCTACTTTTCTACAGCTGCAGCTGTATTATATTGGTAGAACAAATGTGTCGGCTCGAGCGGGAAAAGACCACGCTCATTTCTGAGAGGGTTTTAGGCAAGGAAGTGTTCACCGCGCTGCCCCAATGCGTGTTGGTTAACTTCACATCTCTTCGAAATATTTTTTTCTCTTATTCCTTAAACATGCAGGTTTCCTCACGATGTTTTCCTTCACCTCCGAGCACGTGGTAAATCAGCACTTTCAAAATTGCAATTAATAATTTCATTGGTGCCGGCGGGGATCGAACCCGGGTTACTCGCGTCTTAATATTTACAGTGAGCGTTAACCATCTGAGCTACCACGGCTTCTTATGATGTGTTTCTCGTGTTTCTTATGATGAGTGTGAATCACCGGAGATCCTTTTTACTTGAAACGAGGTGTTCCATCTCAGTCCTCAGGGGCGACAACTCATGTGTATTTTGATTTTCAATGGAGGATTTATTTAGGTTATTTAGGTTCTCACTTACTTACTACCAGGTGGACTGTGTGGTCTTTTGTTATTAGATATGATATTGATATAATAATCTCACACCTCTTGGCGCCTTGCCAAGAGGTGTGAGCGCCGTGCCTCGGCAGTACTCAGGGTGCAATGGCCCGTTTGTGCTTACGGCCGCACAATGATACAATGAAACGGTGCCGGGCCTGGGCGTCTCCCGCTAATTGGCGCCCAAAAATGGATGATGGATAAGATTGGAAAACGTATAGGGCCGCTGCCTGGGGGTCGGCGGGGCGCGTCTGGAGCTGGCGCTGGACGCGGCAGCACGCGGGCCGCCAGCCGAGCGCGAGGAGCTGCAAGATCACCTAACAGCCCCCGCATCCATCATCCCCACCAGACGGCTTGATGTCGGCAGGGTCCTCTCGGACTCGGCAAGCGTCATCCGCCGCTGGTGGAGTGCGCCGCATGCGTTGGACAAGGGATATGAACGCAAACGCAATGCGGGCGTACTATAGGGCAAAAGGGGAAGAAACTGCGGGGATAGCGTATCGGGCTCGGATGCATTGCTTTTTTGCTGAGCTGGAGCCGTCTATTCCCGTCACGGAACAAAACCTGGCAGACCGAGTTCGGTACATCATGCGCTCGAAAATATTCGATGATGCCGAGCTCGAACGACTACGACGTGAGGCCATTCCCTCATCGAATGAATTGGCTACGGCTGGGGATGAGGCTCCTCAGGCGACAGACCAGCTGCCACGCGTAGAAGCCGCCATGGATCTTCCAGTTGTGGGTGATTCAGACGATGATGAAATGGTCTCCCACGAACTAGAGCAAATGAGGAGTATATTGGAAGAAGCGATTTTAGAAACGCGCAGCATGCCTCTCGAAAATCGACCGCGACTTCCCCCGCATACCCCTAAGCAAGCGAAATCGGGCTGTCGTGAGGGCTCTTAACCCAATGCTGGTAACCTATTTGGAAGCCAGCCGGGACCTTTGCGAGACAGACTCAGTTCTTTTTGGCGCCGCAGTGGCAGCTTGCCGTATTATTGGCGCCAAACTTCCCATGGCTGGACGCGCTACTAAACAAAGTAGCGCCATCCCAGCCTGGAGAAAAAGAATTGAGGACCGTATCGCAAAGGCAAGGGCCCCTTATCAGCAGACTGATAAGCTTCAGGTCGGGTAATAATAGACCGAGGGTTGTGCGCACCGTTAGAATGGCGTTTGCCGGGACAAATATTAGTTTGTCCCAGCCGGATATCACGCAGAAACTAACGGAGCGCATAGACGACCTGAAGCAAAAGATTGCCGCTTGGGGGAAGCGGATTCGCCGATTTACCGAGAGGTCAAGGCGGTTCAACCAGAATCGTCTCTTCCAGAGTGATCAGAAGAGGCTCTACAAATCATTGGAGCGACCAGAGGTATGTGGAGCGGGCCCAGGACCGGATCAGGCTAACACTGTCGCATTTTGGCGTGGCCTGTGGTCAGAGCCCGTAAACCACAGCGAGGGCCCTTGGACGGAAGTTGTGGCGAGTCAGTGTGCGAGTATTACGCCCATGGACCCCGTCATCATAACGCCGGATGACGTAGCTGATGCGGTCCGTAGAGCCCCGAACTGGAAAAGTCCGGGACTCGACGGACTGCATCACTACTGGCTGAAGGGGTTCATGGTGTGTCACGCTGTGCTCGCCCGTCAGTTTCAAAAGGCTCTCAGCCAGAAGTCGCTCCCTAGCCTCTTTACTACTGGGATCACTCATTTGGTTCCTAAAGACCAGGTTACCACAGACCCGAGCAAATACCGCCCCATTACGTGTCTACCCACCATATATAAGACACTGACATCCATTTTGAGCGCGAGAATCACTCGTCACCTGGAGCTAAATCAGGTGAGGTCACGCGCTCAAAATGGATGTCGGGGCGGTGGTCGTGGAACTAAGGAACCACTCCTCATTGACACGGTCATTGGAAAAGTGGTGAAACGCAACCGTCGGAACTTCTCCGCCGCCTGGATAAACTACAGAAAGGTATTCGACTCGGTGCTCCATACATGGCTAAAGAGAGTCCTCGAGCTGTACAAGATAGACTGTACAGTGAGAGACTTCCTCGAGCAGTGTATGGGGCAGTGGAGTACGATCCTTTGTCATCTGGGTGAGCGGATGATGGCTGCGGAGAACCACATAAGGATAAGAAGGGGTATCTTCCAGGGCGATTGTCTGAGTCCAATCTGGTTCTGCCTCTCCCTGAACCCTCTCAGTACCTTACTGGAGGGATCCGGGAGAGGATTTCAGCTACGGAAAGGAGGGACAAAAGTGACCCACCTTTTCTATATGGATGACCTTAAGTTATTCGCCTCCAGTCGCTCCCATCTTGTGGAATTGCTAAAAATCACTTGTGAGTATAGCAGTTCCATTGGAATGGAGCTGGGGACGGATAAGTGTGCGGTCCTTCATGCTGAGAGGGGAAGGGTTGCTAACTCTGAGGGCATAGATTTATCTATGCCCGTCAACTTAAGGACCTTTTCCGAGGCTGAAACATACCGATACCTGGGTATGTCACAGAACATCGGTATCGATGAGGCTGATGTGAACAAGTCAGTTTGCGACGTGTTTTATGCACGCTTGACCAAAGTGCTTAATAGCCTTTTGTCAGGTGTGAATAAGACACACGCATATAACGGTTGGGTCATGCCTGTCCTTATGTATACCTTTGGCATAATCAGGTGGACTCAGACTGAACTTAACGCCCTGGATAGAAAAGTCCGCACTACCATGACGTCCCATAGGATGCATCATCCGAGATCGTCGGTAATGAGGCTGTACTTGCCGCGAAAGCATGGTGGGCGTGGCTTTCTAAGCGCGCTCACTATGCATAATCGTGAAGTGTGCAGCATCCGTCATTACTTCCTGGTGAGATCGGATGATCCATTCTATAATGACGTCATTTTTAGTGATAAAGGGCTTACCCCTCTATCCTTGGCCAACGAGCAATG